CGTGTTAACATGACGGGCGAGATATTACTGCAGGTCCTTTGCCTTTTCTCTATTCCATCACCCCCACATTTTCTATGTAGCATAACAGGTTTATTTAGATTTTATAATCAACAGCATTTTTTTAGTTGATTGCTCATTATTAACACAATGTAAATACTCCTCTTAAACATTTCATAACATTTTTATACATCTTAGCAGTTCAGTATTTAATTTTTTTCTATTAAGTACGTATCAAGCTCGGCGATAGGACTGCAGACCTATTATTATATAAACCTGTGACCTTTCGCCACTCAAAAAGGAAGACACCAAGAGGAACGTAGGCTCCTGGTCTCTGCGACCAGGGCGCTTGGCCGGGATCTGTATTAAGTAACAGGCCACTTTTTTTTTGTTTGCCAACTGGACACTAGTTGGAATTTTTTTTTTTCATTTAAACAGGTCTTTACTTCCGGTTTCCTCACATTACTTCCGGCGTTTTCTGACATGCGCATTCAACTCTATATACACTCTTTACTTCCGGTGTTTCTGACATTTCAAGGGCTACACAACAGACTTGTACTTCCGGCGTTTCTGGACCTGCTCATTCAATGGCTACACAACAGACCTGTACATCCAGCGCAAGTTTTTCAAATTAACTCACCTGGTTTCGTAGGAAGTTGCTGCGCGCTCATCGTGCTAATTTCAACTGATAGATTTTCGTCTTTAATTCACCCAGCAACTGTTCAAGGCCACACTGGAGCGAGTCATCGGTCTATTATTTCTCTCGTGTGTTATGTTCAACGCACGCTACTTCGGCCTGTCCTGAACATCTGCTCAATGCTAGTACTTAGTATTTATTTGTAGTTGAGTATTGGTTTATCTTACAGCCATCTAATACTTCGTCCTATCACCAACAATTTTTCAATGCTAGCATTGCGGCTTATACCTATTTCTAATTGTGCCTTGGTTTATCTTAAAGCCATCTAATACTTCGTCCAATCACTAACATCTGCTCAATGCTAGCATTGCGCCTTATACATATTTCTAGTTGAGCATTCGTTTATCTTACAGCCATCTAAGACTGCGTCCAATCACCAACATCTGCTCAATGTTAGCATTGCCTCTTATGCCTATTTCTAGTTGAGCATCAGTTTATCTTACAGCCATCTAAATCCTCATTCTATCACCAGCATCTGCTCAATGCTATCACTGAGGCTTGTACCTATTTCTAGTTGTGCATGGGTTTATCTTACAGCCATCTAAGTCGTCCTCCTATCGCCAGCATTTTCTCAACGCTAGCACTTCGGTTTGTACGTATTTTTTAGCAGTGTATTGATTTATCCAAAGGCCTAATTTTCTTCATTCAAACATCCGATGCCGTTAACTTTCAATTATTGTTTGGACGTTATTAATCATCTGCTTAACGCCACCCCGGACATTATGGCGACATCGAATTGTCCTTTCGAACATTGGCATTTTCTGCCAACCTAACTTGCCAGGATTTTAAGGGCAGTATAACTAAATCATCTGCATTATTAACATTTTCACGGTTATATTATATTGGTTCATGTATGACGATCAGTATCCTCCACTTTTCTTTATTCATTGTTCATTGTTCATGTTGAGTTCTCATCTATTTTGGTTCGTTTAAACCAAAGCAATATTATTCTATATTTAAATTTTCTATACCGTGTAAATATATTTTTGCATTAATTTAAGCTCCTCTTTTTCGTTGTCCTTGTTTTGACCTGTCAGATTTACGTCATATATTTTTAAATGTTTGCGGGCCTCCCGTGTCCCGTCTTATTGAAGCGCCACAATGTCATATCCTATCGTATTCCCCACTCCAGTGTTTTGCAACAATAAACATTTATCCGCTGTACTGGCGACACGCTATTGATATATCCCCAGATAAATTCGGACATAGAATCCATTTACGAAATAGAAACAAGTAACACATTGTCTTTCCTAGGTCATTTTTATACTCTATTGACAATTGTCCATAGGAATTCAACTAATCCAGATGAGTCCATAAATGCATATCCTCAACATAGAATATTTGTTGGAATCTATCTAAGCTACGCACGGCCAGCCATTATATATATATATATATATATATATATATATATATATATATATATATATATATATATATATATATATATGTATAAATTAGAACAAAACAAATGTAAATTCAAACCTTCACAACATTTAAAATAGGGCTCAATACAATTGTAGAGCGATAATTTACAAGCGCCTGATGAGATGTGCTGATATGCACCGAAACATGAATGCATTTATGTAGTGGTTCTACATATGTACGAATTGTAATATCCTATGATATATATATATATATATATATATATATATATATATATATATATAAAGAAATATAGATTGAGGTATGCTATATTTATGGAATAAAGTGCTCAATATCAGAGATAGAGCGTGTAAATATAAAAGTGAATATAGAAGTCAGCACTTAGAGGCGACAGTCTGTTTCATGCTATATGCAATCGTCAGGTGGCCTGACGATTGCATATATATATATATATATATATATATATATATATATATATATATATATATATATGTGTGTGTGTTGTGACACAGCAATATATATATATATATATATATATATATATATATTGTCGATACGGAAACACATGACTGACCAAAATATATTTTTGCTTTAATTTAAGCTCCTCCTCCTTTAAGACGCTGTGTTTTGCATTTAAATCTAAATAAATGGTTTACTCGCCAGCAATTTCCAATCGCTTGATGAGGTGTATTAATAAGCATGGAAGCACTAGTGCAATTGTATAACGATTTTTATGTTTTCGGTTTAATATTCTGAAATAAATAATATTACTCTACTCTCTATTGAACCCTAATTTAAATTAAATGTTACGAACGTTGGAATTGTAGTTTATTCGTCAATGTCGTTATGCTATTATTGAGAGGAAGGATCAAAATCTTTTTGATTATGTAATCAATTTTTTTACTCCTTTTAATAATGTTCGAAATTTTAATGAAAACATTTCTTTTTTCCTGCATCAGTGGTTGTACTAACTTTTAGCATGTCAAATTTTAGCCTCTTTATTGCGGTGACAGGCACATTAATTTGGAAATTCTTGCAAAAATCAAGTAATTGTCGGATTTTAATGAAATTTTCAGGAATTATTCACAAATGAATTAAATTATTTTGGAATTTTTTGATTAGAACATTTTTGGTAAAGATATTTTTTTTTTACATGCGTTTCATCGGCTTACTGAATTTTATAAAAAACTTGAGAAACTGAACGTGCTAATTTTTATTGACTATATTACTTAAAACCAGAATTCTTTTAAGAATTTAAATCACTGAATTTTTTGGCACAACGGACCTCGTCTTACCAAAAATCTGTTATGGATAGAAAAGTTAAAAAAAAAGACATTATTACATAGAAAATCTTTTATTTAATTCCATGAATAATATCCATTAAAGACAATATTGTCGACGAAAAATTAATTTTACAAAATTTATTTTCACTATTTCACAATTTTAAATTGAATAATTCATAAAGATTTAATTCTATTAAAATTTTTGATCCTTTTAAAAATTTTGAATGTGGTAATTCTTATATTCATATATTGTAAATCTTATTACGATTTGACGAACTATTTTTATTTTTAAATAATTTCGATTTTTCTTTTGATTACGTGAAGATTTTATCAAGTATGGATGTACAAACCGAAAAGTCTATCGAAAAGGTCATATATTTTATTGGTTATCCCCCTTATAATGTTTATCGTCTGCTTTACTATAATTAATTATGAACACGTTCGGCTGTCAATCAGCTGTCAATAAACACATCGATTAACACATCAGAAAAAAAGACCCTGTAGTCAAGGTATGTATGTATACAATTTGTATGCTATAAGGAAGTAATATTGTTTACAGCCAGATTAATTTATCTTTAAATCTGCTAATTTTCTTCAAATAATATATCAGGAATATATATTTTATTGTTGCATGATTTTTAAAAGCGAGAATTAATTTTGTTGAAAATGTGTAAAAAATGACCGTTTTGATGGATTTTATTGAAAAAAAAAAATCGATTCCGATCAATATAATTTCTTTTTGAGTATTTTACTTACTGGAAATAGTAAATTTTAAATCCTTCAGCTTTCAGCTAAAGCTAAAATGAAAGCTTCAAGAAAGCATCTTCATTTTAAGATTTAGCTTTTACTCTAACATATACCGAATTAATGGAGTCATATATATATATATATATATATATATATATATATATATATATATATATATATATTGAAGAAAGTTGTCCTGACGTGCTTCCAAAATATATCTGAAAACATGAGAAGTTGTAGAGTAAACCCATTTTTGACGATTCAAAGAAATATTTAAGGCAACCATCCAAATATATATGTATATTGTTTAAATTCTGTTCAGGTATGTTTCTCTTTCTCTCTTTTACCTCTCTCACTCTCCTTCCTTCTCTTTCTCTCTCTATATATATATATATATATATATATATATATATATATATATATATATATATATATGAAGTTGCGGACGTTTGTTTCCATATACCTATGTATACAATCCCTGTAAATCGTGTATTCATTATGCCTGTAGCATATTGACGCGTTCATGAAGACGCAAGTGATTATCCAAACAGATAAAGACGGATGGGCAGCCCCTTCGTGATGTGATCAATTTTTATTGCCCGAAACTAGAAATTCATGAATAAAATTCCCGTCTACAAAATCGAATTTGCATTATACCAGTTGTCTACATCGTCACGGAAAGAAGCATGCCAGTTTCACCTTTCTTCGAATCTCTTACAGAAATCCTCTTTCGAAGCTTTCGGGCAAACAATTCGTAATTTAGTGTTATTTCTGAAAAAAAAAAAAATATATATATATATATATATATCCTGCATTTTCTTTTGTTCGTTTTTTCACCGTATTTTTTCCGACATTTTTTCTTTTCAGTCATATGTCATTTTTTTTTTCTTTAGCTTATGAAACAATATATTTTCCAATTTCACTTAACTTTTTTTTTCGTTCTTTCTTTTTTTTAATTCTTTCATTACTTCTTTTCTTCCTTCTTGTGATACTTTCTATTTATTCCAGTTTCAAACGTAAAATTGCTTCTTTCTTTCTCTCTTTTATTATTTTATTACAATCTAAATTTTCTTGTTTTCTTATTTTTCTCTCTCTTCATTTTTCTTTCCCTTCTAATTATCTTGTGAGACTATTATTCCTATTGTGTAACTAAAGCTTTTTTCTGTCTTTCGTTTTTTTTTCATTGTCTCTTTTATTTATTCTTAAGCCTGTCTAATTAATTTCGTTCTTGCTTTTTCCTCGTTTTCTCTTTTCTACTCTTGTTAAATTTAACCTTTGTTTATTTTTTCTTTCCAAATTTAAACTATTTTTTATACATCTCGTTCTTTGCCACTTTCTTTCTATATTTGTGTACAGCGCGTGAAAGAAACTGTTTCTTCTATCGTCAATGTTAAGGTTTTATTTTCTTTAAGTTTCTGAAACGATTTATTTATTCTCTTACGAAATTTAAACTGTGTCAATTGTTACTTTTCTTTTTACTTTGTGAAACAATCTTTTTAAATATCGATCTTACATTTCGTTCTTTCTTTTTCAGTTTCTTTCATTCATTCATTTTTCAATCGTTCTTTTCTTTTGTTTTAGTTAAACGCTGACCATCTCCCCATTTGCGTATTTAACGTCATTTCAGGATAGAAACCATTTCGTTCTCTCATTCCATATTTCTTTTATTTATCTTTTACATTTCCTTATTATTAACTGTTATGATGTTGATTTGGGGTTAGTAGAGACAAACGCCAAATAACACGTAACAAATAAAAGGGTTTTAATAGGTTGGTAAATAGGTACAGAATCGCCTGAGTAGTCAATCACTAGCTCAGCTAAGAACTTCTCCGTCTTTGTCTGTCTTTTGACATGCCACTATTTAACGTCTTTGCTCGCAGACAAGTTCATCTTCAAGAGGGGTGGTAGGTTTCCAACACAACATTAACTTACCTTTTTTTGCAGATTTTGTTTTAGTTTTCTTTGTTTAATATTCTTTTAGAGTTTTTGTTTCAGTTTTTTTGTTTTTTAATCCGAATCACCCCGAACAAAGAAGCAATGCCACCCTAAAAACAAGTGGTTTACAGGATGTAGAAGACTTAGGAACAGAAACATTAATGATGAATAGAAAGAGAACATACTAATCAGGTGGACAGTAGATAGCGATAAACATTGCGTTTCAATTTGGGCAGTTTAAAGTTGGCTGGAATGATGGAGCCGGAAGTCATCTCTATAAATAAAGTGCGAGAGAAGAAATTGTTAGCATAGAATTTACGGTTGCATCTATCCAGCTCAACAGTAAATAGATGAGAACTAGTTGCCTGTCTAGTAGTGCACTTAAATGCAAAATCTCTAGGTATCATAGTGAAGTGCATCCGAACAAATACCATGAAAGTATTTATAGAAAAGACATAGCGAGGTAACCTTAGAGCGGTGGGAAATTGACTTGAGTTGAGCTGTCAGATTTGGACCAGTGATATTGCATATTCTTCTTTCGATCTTATAAAGGAACTCAAAGTAAATATCAGGGTCACCGGACCATATGTGGCAGCAATATTCTAAGCATCGACAAATGCTAGACTCGAGAGAAAAAATTGTCTCGCCTGATATAATGAACCTACTTTCTTAACGGCTGACCTAGTAATGGATTTAAAATTTTGTATATATTTATTTATTAAATGACACTTTTCATTTATTTTTCTTTTGATGGCAAGTTTAATATATTTTCACCTCTTTATTTGTTCATTTCTCTGCGAATAATTTGCTTTCTTGCATTCTGTTTACATTTATTTCGTTTTTTTTATATTTTTGGTGTTTCTCTTTCAATATTTTAAAAATATATATTTATATTAAGAGGTTAATTAAATTATATATTTTCCGTATTTTCTCTCTATATTTTTTATTCGTTCTAAAATTTCTTTCTGAATTTCTCGATTTCCTTCATTATTTTGATTTTTTCATTCATTATTTTCTTTCTCATATTCCGTTTTCTATTTTCATTTTTAGTTGCGTTTTTTTTTCCATCTCCGTTATTTTCTTTCTTTATATTCGTTTTTTCTTATTTATTTATTTTTTCAACGTTTTTCTTTTACTGTCTCTCTTACATTATTCTTTAATCTCAATCCTTTATTCCTTCATTTCGCTTCTTTTTCCTCCTTTTTTATTACGTCCATTTTATTTTATATTTTTACTTATTATTAAACTACTTACATAATGCGCCCGTTGATTTTAATTAATTTCTCATTGATTTTTTAATCTATCCTTCGTTTTTCTTTTTAAATTTTCCCCTTCTTCTCAATTTCATTCGTTCTTTATTAAAAATAATATTTTTTTTCATTGCATTCTTTTTTCCTTTATTTTAAAATCTTCCTTCCTATTTTTTTCATTCCCTTATTGGTTTTCACAGACCTTTCTTTATTTTTGTTTCTTTCATTTTAAAATATTGATTGTACATTTTCTTATAACGTTGTCAATTTGCAACTATTTTTTTTCTTCCATCTATTGTCCTCTTGTCTCCTCTTTCAATTATTGTACTATGCTCGACTATATTTTTACTCAACTCTTTTGGGCTTATCTTGCTTCGTAAAATAATATTTTATTTACTTACTATTAATTTCCTCTTCTATTGTTCTTTTTTTTTCTTTCTCCTCAGACTTACATTTATATTTATCCAATGTCTTTTCCTTTTTTTTTTTTTTTTTGAATTTTATGAAATTTTCCTCCTGTAACATTTTCGACACGAATACAACCTTTCAGAATTGACAACGTATTTTACCTCAGGGAAGATTATTTTCTCAGACAAATCGTCTATCATTGTCTTCATCTTCTGGTCCACAGAGAAAGCAAAAGAAGAAGAAGCAAAGATAGTCAACCCAGAATTTTCCGATACTGATGTAAAATAAAAAAATAAATACATAACATTATCAAAAAAAAAAAAAAGAAGACTGCCACAGCCTTCCCATATCTTTGTCATGAGAGACAAAATTGTTAACAATAACGAACCATGTCATTTCTTGCAAACAATCATGCTACATTCAAAATAAAATTATTTAACGTATTTTCTGCTCTCATAAATACCAATGCATGCATATAAAGCTTTAAATTGCAATAAATATATATATATATATTTCAATAATATATATGCAATAAATTTAATTTAAAATTCATGAATTATTCATACAAAAAAAAAATACAAAGGTTAATGATTTAATTGGCGAGAAATCCATCGTTGCGAACAATTCAAATAATATACAAAAACCCCGAACCTGTTTATGAATGAAAAGATCCTTGTTTCTATAAATTTCTGTTGCATAAGTTCTTATTATTTTTACAAGCTTTCGTCTGTTCCTACAGACATCCTCGGGTATGGAATAGATTTTGTTCTTGTTTTTACTCTCAGTAATAAGAGGACAACGAAAATATATGTATTGTTGTAATCTGAAAATGCTATTAGAAATGAGTTATTGTAAAATTTAAATTCAAAATCAGCGTTGCGACTGCACGCTCCAAAAACAATAACTCAATAAGTGGCTGTTTAAGAGTTTGATGACTATTTTTCCTACGTTTGTTTTTACGTAAAAACGAGCGTGTAAGAAAACTTATATTAAGATAGTGAAGGTTGCGTTTAATATAGTTACTGTGTTTGGAATGTTCCTGTTGAATAACATTTATTTCCGGTGTCACGGAAGCAAATAAATATCAAACGTTTATACGCTTCTAAACTTCGCTAAAACATTTAAATAACATGAAACTGTCCAGCAATGACACAAACATCAAACATCTTAGTCATATTCACTGAAATCTATATGATATCCCGAATATTAAGTCGTTGCAGCCGCTGCTAGGCGCTCCTAAACAAATCTAGCAGGACAGCCTTGACCTTCACAACTCTGTCTGCTCCCTGAACTGAATCAGCCGTCAGAGATTAGATGTTCTATAGGGGAATATTAACTAGTAAATTAAACGACTATCGGGATATGTTTAGAGGTAAAAAAAATAATTCCTCCTGGAACAATCCTTTTCTGTTATAAAAACACACGTCGTTTTGGTGTAATAAATCTGACGTGTAAACCTGTGCCTTTGTCTCCTCATTGTCTTTGTTGTTTACACCTTTCTTCAACACAAACCAGCTTATGGGTTCGACATCTTTACCGGCCCGGCAACCGAATCAAATCTCTTTCGTGTCGTATATGATGAAATTGGCCGGCGTTTAATGTCATATAGGAATTAGATATGGCATAGCAATTCAGTGCTTTTTTCTAACGAATTTTTCAATGTCAACAGTGTGTCGTCGTTTTCAAAACTGACTAAAAATTCAGATCTTACTTATTATAAAACGCAGATTGTGTGTGTGTGTGTGTGTGTGTGTGTCTACGTTTATATATTGGATCGGATTTCCTACATTTTTCAACCGATTTCAAAAAAATTTTACAGGACTGCGTAAAATTACCTTGCGGTGGTTCTGACAGCGCCCAAAATTAGAAAAACACAATTGTTTTTTGCACAAAATCAAATTAAGTCGCCAGAATGAAAGGGGGGCAACTCATATCGAGTTATACTTATTATAAAACCCAGGTTGTTTGTGTGTGTGTTCGTTTATATATGGGATCGGGTTTCAACAAAACTTCACTTTTTTTGGCAGGTAGTGTTTCTTATTGTCTTGCACACTTTTTTTTATTTTTACATCCTGAATGCTTTAAAAATTCCATTTACAAGACAATAGTTTATAATAAAATTCTATTCAATCGATAGACTCATAACGATTGAAAACAATGTTTTTGTTTGAGTTTGGGTTTGACCAATTCGTAAAAAAAAAAACAAAAAACAAAACAACAAAACTTAAACAATAATCTTTGCCAATTATATTTTTCAGTCTTTATGATGGTCGATACTTGATCTATCTCTTACTATTACATCCCCGGGCAACGCCGGGCACTAATGCTAGTATTGCATAAAATTAGCTTCACTTCCAACAACTACACATACACTAGATTTCCAACATTTATAGATTATTTATTCTCTCCTAACTAAAAAACATTTTTGTTTCAGTTCCGAAACCTTTTTCCCATCCTGCCTGTCATAGCTGACAGTCCTGTTTTCCTTACCTCGAAGTCTGACCTGCCATCCGACCGAGAGAACAACTTGCCAAACAATGACCTCCTAGGTTACCAGACCAGACTACCCAGATCTGACTCCAATCTGGACATTCCTCATGACACAATCCGTTTCTGTTTTGTTATAAAAACGAACGTTGATTTGGTGTAAATAAACTGATATTATTGTTAAATAAAATCCTGTGCCTTTGCCTCGATATTGATTATTGTTCACAACTTTATTCAACACAAACCAGCTTGTGGGGTCGACATCCTTCTCGGCTCCGCAAGTCTATTGCACTGTGGGTAGCCTAATAGTTATTTAAACTGATTTATTATAAACTTCTGAATCAGTTTATTGTAAACTGATTGATTATAAACTTCTGCATTAGTTTATTGTATAGCTTACAAAAAACGGCACACCATATTTGCACTAACTGAACTCACTACGCTACCAAATTTTTCGGGAATATTTTGTTTATTCTTTGCCCACTATTTGGGGGCTTAGCCCAATATTGGGATAGGATTGCACATTGTCGGCTCCGTACGCATGCGTGCGTATTTACTCAAATAAATCCTGACATCGATTCAGAAGTTAGTGTTGTTCTCTGAAATAAACAATGCATTAACGGATATAGTATACGCACTAAGTATTGGTGATTTTTGACGAGGTCCTTCTTATAATTGTTTTTTTTTTATTCCAAAGATCAGCCTCCATCGGCGAAGTATTTATCTACCACGAGAGTTTCTAGTAATGTCCAAAATGCTTGTGAATTGTACAAGGAAACTGCCTTTTCCAAACACCGAAACAAACATTATACGCATTCTCTCATCCGATTTTCCACACCAACGTATATTACGTGCTCTCAGGTTTCTAGTAAACAGACAAACAATAAATTTTCTGAAGTGCTTTTAGTACGATTTCTGTATGAAAAGTATCCAGCCGTTGTGAATATCTCCTGAATCATTTGCGCGGCCATGATCTATTTCAGTAACCAATCAGAGGCTATCATATTGCGTATGCGTGGAGCGACACTCTCCCGTCAGTCGTGAGATGTTATTTTACTAACGAATAGATTGTTCGAGTCTCGTGAGAGGTCTGTTCAAAGAAATTGCATCACCAAGTTCTATCAGACCGTTGTAGTCCAGGTTTGAGTTCTTGCGAGTTATAGCATTTCCCCAAGCTAAAATCACACCTGAAACGCTGTAGAAAAGAATAACGTGTAAAGGCGACAAGAGAGATTATGTTAATCCCAAAAGAGATTTTTTTTAAACTGTTCCCAAGAGTTAAAAGAATTTCAGAATGGTGCTAAAAAGTTCTCGGTTAAAACAAAAGCAGTTATCCGCTGACTACCCATTGCAATACCGACTCAGGTAACACATAAAATATATATTTTTTTAAAAATCCAAATATACGACTTTCCAAACAGAATGTATCAAGAAGTTAAGAATCTATTGGTCAAGGTGAATTCGTATAATTATTAATTCTTTCTCGAATAAATGGAGAAGGATTCGTTTATCTCAATTCTAAAAATTAAGCACCCACTCCAATTATTTGAAAAACTAATCTTATTCAAATTTCATTATACCAATTAATAGATTTTGTAAAAAACTGCCCTTCATCAAATATTTTTTAAAAATCATTTCCCTACAAGCAAGGCAATAAACCTACTGACATGCAAGTGATTACTGAGTGAGAGAGAACTTGAGAAAAATAAACATTATTAAGAGGAAAGAACAATAAAAGAACAGGGATTAAGAAGACAGAAGAGAACAATTGACATAGAATTAAAATGTTTGACGATGAAAGTCAACTGGAAAGTAAGAAACCTCAAGAAATTTGCACAAGCTAAAAGAGAAGAAATTGTTAGCATACAAAGTATGCGTATATCTCACCATTTCAATTATGAGAGCTTTGCACCAGTCAAATAGTACGCTTTAATTCTTAAAGTCTAAGTTCAAAAGAGGAAAGACAATCATAACAATAAAAAAACAAAAAAACAAAACATTTATATAAAATGTAGCGGCTCGGATTTCGAATTCCAGTCAAATGCGTTACATTCACTTATGTACTATTACCATTGAGAAAGGTATGAATCATCATCTCCA